TGCAGGCTGAAACAGCCAGCTCTGAACCATGTAGCGTGCTAGGGCATGGCTGGTGGCATGGATCTGTGTAACTCAGACAGGGTGAGTTTACAGACACTTTGCAGACACCATTCCTGAATGGCAGGAGGTGTAGCCTCTAGCTGGAACTGCTGTACAGAGCAGGGAAGCCCTGTTCTGTCTGAATGTAGCCATTTTCTCCTTCACTCCCCTTCATCCTTCTGGGATTGCTGACCCAGCTGATCTTTTTAGCCATTTTCTTGCAACCGTAGGAGAGGGGGCAAGCTTCCCATGTCAGTGCTGATCCTTGCTTTGTTGTTTGATTTATTTTTATTATTATTTTTTTTTTTTCCTCAGAATGCCTTTGTTTCCATCTACCTCATCAGCTGCTTCAGCCAGCTTATAGATCTCTCCAGCACTGTGACTGACGTTGCTGGCTACACACACAGGTGAGCTTCTGTGTTGGCAGGTCTCTGCAAGAGAGGTGAGTGTGAGATATGACTCTGCCCAGGTCTTTGCTAAATACGTAGGAAACGCTTGTGAGTGACTATGGACAAGGTTGGCAGTGAGGAGTTTTGGAATTGCCCCTGGCATTCGTGGAACTTCTTGTTTGTCTAGGATTGGTGAACTGCAGGAGACCTTGCTGAGCCTTGGCAGAAGAGAAAATGAAAGGTACTCAGAAGCCAAAGACTGGGACTCAGGCAGGTGAGTCTACCCTCAGCAGCATGTTGGCTTGCAGCTTACATGCCAGCATGTGGGGCTGTCACTGGGTGGAGGTGACTGGGAGATGCAGCCTGTTGCCTGCGGTTGATTGGAACTAGCAGCACAGTGTTCACTGTAACCTGGGATGTGTATGGCAAGGCTAATATTACAGAGGTGCAGGATGTCTAAGGTGCACGGGAAGGTTCCTGGTCTTTACCAGCCTCAGCACTGTCACTTACCCCCAGATTCTCTTTGTCTTTGTGGTGGTCCAGCAGTGACTCTGGGGAGGACTTGGAGCCAAGGGACACAGCTTTCCTTCTGGAGCAAGTGACGCTCTCAGTGCCATCCTCTGGCAAGCTACTCATCAAGGACCTGAGCCTCAGGATCTCACAAGGAGACAGCATGATGATCATGGGGAATACTGGCACAGGGAAGACATCTCTCCTGAGAGTCCTCGGGGGACTCTGGGAGAGCACACAGGGTAAAGACTGCAAGTTGCCATAGCCTTCTCTTCATCAATTAAGTCCGTCTTAGCTGAGTTTAAAAGTTGGCAGTGAGAAGTCGTGAGGCCAATGCCATTTGCAGTGGTGAATGTGTCACTGATGCATTTGAGCTGCTCCTTCTGTGAATCACAGACTATGCTCTGGCTCTCATTGCTTTGCTCTGTTTTGGAAATCCACCTTTTCTTGATATTTGTTATTCCACAGCAGTGGCAGGTAGTTGCAAGCAGGTGCTGCGAGCTTGACGTGAGTGTGTCTCTGTGCAGGGAATGTCCAGATGCTGACCTGCTTTGGCCCCCGAGGAGTGGTGTTCCTGCCGCAGAGGCCGTTCTTCACTGATGGCAGCTTGCGTGAGCAGGTGAGCCCCGGGACAGCTGGCCCCAGCCCTGCTGCCTCTGAGCTTGTGCCACCATCATTTTGTCCCTGATGGACTGTGTCCAGCTCCCTCTAACACAACCTCTTTTTATTTGTTAAAACAGGTGATTTATCCTCTGAAGGAGATCTATCCAGTTTCAGGTACATTAACAGGAAACTCATTAAAGCAGTTATTAATCCTTGTGGTTTCAGCTCTGTGTTCTGTACTCAGTGTAGCTTCTCCTCTACAGTACCGCACCAGGAATGCTCTGTTTCAGTTTTGTTGCACTCTGCTTTTCCCTGGAATATTAACTTTCCTATAGCTTTGGATTGGGTTTGCATTCTTCCTCTTTTGAGGAGAACACAATCTCTTTATACAGTGAGGACAGGTTGGCAGTACTCTGCATATTGTACTGTGACATATATGATACGTGTTCAGGCACCCTGCTGATTTCTAAACGTGCTGCTAGAATACATCTGATCTGTCTGGTATAGCCTGCTTTTTGGAAGCCAGTTTTACCTTTATCCATTTTTCCATACACTTCATCCTTATTTTCCATACACCTCTGGCTTTCACTGTTCCTCTTTTTCAGCTGAGGTCTCATGACCTTACACGCTGTTGAGGTCAGACCATGTGGCTCCTTTATCTTCCCTGCCCGCTTCCCAAGCCAAATCACACCTCCAATTTTAAGCTGCCACATCTTACATTTGTCCAAGTTTAAGTTTTTGTCAGAGTGAAGCCTAGACCCTTGTCTGTCTATCTGTGCCAAGCCTCAGGTCTATCTGTGGAGCCCAGCCATATTCTGGTGTGCTGCTCACAGACATGGCTTAAGGTGGATCAGTCTTTGGGAGCTCTCTGTGTGCCAAAGCTCAGGACTTGATACAGTTAAGTGGTTGAGTCAGCTATGCTGGACCTCAGGAGCTTCTCTAAACCTTCCCTCTTGTCTGACCAATTCCTCCTTGTAGCAATGGTCTCCAACATGTTTCCTGTACTTACACGCTTTCTCCCCTAGGATCTGCGGATGATGAGAGAATTGTGCAATTCCTGGAGCTGGCAGGGCTGGTGAGTCCCTGGTGGCATTGCTGCCTTCTTGACCGGTGCTACTGAGAGGGAAGAAGGAATGAGGTATTGTGGCAGCACATGCTGGACACAGGCGGGGAATGGTCTGTAGCTGAAATGGGACTGTCCTGGGAACAGGCAGAGCAGTTCAAGTGGGAGAAGAAAGGGTAGAAGGAAGAAGATGGTAAATCTTAGGGCTGTGTCCCCTCTGGGCTGGCAGGGTTGGGCCTGTGTTCACAAGTCTGCTGTGCTCTCTGCAGACTGATTTGCTGGCAAGGGCAGGTGGACTGGACAAGCAGGTGGACTGGAACTGGTAAGACCGCTCACTGTTTGTGTGAATTTATATGTTCCCTCTGGTTGGGGAGCTTCTAAGCAGTTGCCTGTTGTTGCTGGTCTTAGGAGCATCTTCTGTGTGCACTTGTGTCTTGTGGGTGGTAAGCAGTACGTGGGGCTGAAGGAATTACACCCTAAGCATCAATTTCCACATCAGCAACCATGTTGCTCTGCAGGAAAGTGACTGTGCATAGGGGTGCAGAGCCAGTGCCAACATGGAGGGGGGAGCACAGGGGCAGTTGTTTGCTGGGGTCTCCAACGTCAGCAGTCATAAACTTGTTTCACAAAAAAGATGTTTTTGTTAAGGGAGACTTTTTTATTTTGGCCCTGCTGCAGGTATGATGTGCTGTCCCCAGGTGAGATGCAGAGGCTCTCATTTGCACGGCTCTTCTACCTTCAGCCAAGATATGCGGGTGAGTGAGTGACTATAGAAGAAAGGCAGGACCTTTGCCATAAACAAAAGCTGGTGCAGAGGCTTGGCCATAGTGGTGATATTAGGTAGTATAGCACACAGGATTGAGAATTGAAAAATGTTTCTTTATCTGCATAGCATGGAACAAAGAAGCTCATAGTTGCAGATGGTTCCTAATTCATTTACATGTTTAAATGGCTAGTAGCTGCTGAGGGCTGTTGGAAGAGGTGTCGGGGCCAAAGTAGACGTGGGTAAGCAGAGCCATGTTAGCAGCAAAAGCCATGTTTAAGTCCTGCTCTTCTTCTGAAGTCTACAGCACTGCTCAGTGCAGGGACTCATGGATTGGAAACTAAAAGCTGTAGATTATGTGAGAGAAATAGAATTCATTTGTTCTGGTCTGTAGTACTTACCCTTAACTGACAGGGAGCTGCCCCAGTCCATCATGGCTACTGTATATGGGTCCTTGGCCAGGCACAGTGGTGTGCAGTCTTGGGAAGGCAACACCTTGGCTATCACAATGGTGAGGGCAGTACAGCAATGTGCAGCTTTTAAGGAAGATGAATGAGGCAACCAGTATTGTTTGGGTGGACTTGAGGGCTTAGGGGAGCCTTCCCATATAGCTGGCACCAGCTGCATCATTGAGGTCATTAAGCTTCTCCTCACATGCCTTCTGCAAATACTCTTGGTGAGCTACACTTAGTATGGGAAATGCTTTCAGCAGAAGACAATGACAAGCTGGGAGGGGAGAGATGTGTGGAACTTACAACTTGTCTCTCAGTGCTAGATGAAGCCACCAGTGCCTTGACAGAAGAGGTGGAACATGACCTGTACCGTGTGTGCCTTCAGCTGGGCATGACTCTGATCAGCGTGGGACACAGGGCCAGCCTGGAGAAGGTGAGATAGTGAGCAGCACTCCATGCCTTGGGGCAAGATGAGGAAATCAGGGCATCTCTGGTGAGCAGAGGGAAGCAAAAGGCTAGAGAGCTGCATTACAGGAGGACATGCCCTCACAGAGGCAACTCACATTTGTTATGGCATTGGATTTGCAGTTCCACAACTGGATTTTGAAACTTCATGGAGGGGGAAAATGGGAACTCACTCGATGTGAGAGGATGAAGCGGCCTCCATCCTGGGAAGAATGACATAAAACATTCCTGATCTGGCCAGCTTCAGAAACTACACACACGTGGAAGAGCTGCAGAACTCTCAGCAAGAGATTCAGTTGGTTAGTGCAAGCCCAATTATGGAATTTGCTGATGGACATAGGGCTAAGTCTAAACTTATACCAGGAGCAGGCATGTCCATCCTATCCTTCTTCCAGCCTCCTTGTTCCTCTCTGCCACTGAGAAGAGAAGGGATTGGACTGCTAGGTTGCCAAAAAAAAAAAAAAAAAAAAAAAAAAAAAAAAAAAAAAACCACACCAAAATAACAACACTGCCTCATGGCATCAAGGATGCAGTAGTGTGATGCTAGGATAGAACCTGATGTTCTTCTGTCTGTGCCTTGCTGGGGCCTCTGCCTCTGGTGCTACAGAATCAGCTTCTGAGCCTCTGGCTCCCCAAGCAGGAGGTGCATTGTAATAGGAGATGCATTGTAATAGGAGAAAGAGACTGGCACAGAAAAGAACATTGCTCTCATCTGCTTAAGATACACAATAACAAATAAACATTTTTGTATTAAAATCTGGAGTCAGCTATCCAAGGATGTTTCTGGAGAAGAACCAGTATGTGTTACCAGATTTCTGCCTCTTTTTCCTTTTACTCTTTGCTCTGGAGGAGTTACGTATTGACAGTGCTCTTGGACTGGAGAAGTGATTAAGAGCAAAGCAGGGATAGGAATAATACACCTACCTATAGCTGGTCAGTTGCTTTCTCTAAAGCTACTGCAAGGCACAAGGAGCCTGAAGGAAGGATGTTGGTTCTCTTCTTCGGGAGCAAACAGCTCTCCCTCCTTACTGTTGTGCCTGTTCTCTCCTGTCTCCTTTGTGTGTATGGAGGCAGAACTCTCGAGGGTCTCTCAGACTGCGCTGGAAGTACAGTCTGAGCACTTACTGGGCAGCGGTTGCTCAGTGACATTTCTGGACCTGACCCTAATTCTGTAGTGAAGGGGCTGGAGGTGCCATACTAGCAGTTCTTCTGCTGCTCCACAAGGCGCTTGTGTCCCTCTATGATCTGCTGCACAGCTTCATGGTCATCTAGGGTGGTTAGGTCCCCAAGCTCACTGGCTTTGTTCTCAACGATCTTCCTTAGCACCCGCCTCATAATCTTCCCAGAGCGTGTCTTGGGCAGCCGGCGTGTGACCTGAGCAGGGAGGAGTAGAGTTGATAGCCAAGAGAAAGGGGGTAGCCAAGCTGCAGAGGTGGGTCCTGATCAGCCTGAAGGAGTTACCTGAATGTACTCTGGAACTGCATACTTAGCGATCTTCTTGGAGATCAGCTCCTGTAGCTCAGCAGCAAGAGTTTCCTCCATGTACTTGCTGTCCTTCTTCAGCACAATGAACACGTAGGCTCCTGGCAGAAGGACCACTGTTACAGACCACCATGTGCAGTGTGGTCCCACAAGGCTGTTATGGGTAAGGTACCTCTGTGCTGCCTGCCCTGAGGTGCTTTGTAGCCTGAGCTCTGTAAATGCTGTCATACTATTTCCTTACACAAAGCCAAACTGGCCTTGCATGAAGGTTCTGATAACTGCTGAGGATACCCAGTAATATGCTGTGCCGTGGGGGTTGGTGTGGCATTTCAGGAAAGCATGCATCTCACCTTCTCCCTTGATCTCATGTGAGTAGCCGATCACAGCAGACTCTGCCACTGCCACATGGTGGTTCTGAAACAGAACAGGGGTGGAATTCACAGCTGCTGCCCAGGAATTCCCTTGATCCCTCCACTGCAGTCAGCAGTGACATGGAAACAAGGAAGGGCCTCTGATGACCTTTGCCCCATCTTCTCCTTGCTTCAGTAGGTCTCTGCAAACTTATCTCCCCCTACTCCAGCTGCTTTAGGCTTGCACCTTCGAGGTCCCGCTCGTGTGCCTCCAAGGCTGCTCCACCAGTTCCCACAAATTTTATATAGCTGCTATAGTTGACATCGAGTTGCTTCAAGAAATGTGCTTGGCTGCTACTTTGGGATTCATCCCCTCAGAGCATGAGACTTACCAGTCTTTGCTACAGAGAGAAGGGAGATGGAGCATGGGAGCAGCAGAGCTCAAAGACAAACGAGACCAATTAAATGGATCTGGCAGAGGGGAAAGCTTAGTGCTGGGCTTCATGCAACTGTTGCGTACGTACTCAGGAGCATCCTTAAGGGGAAGAAAAGGCCTAACTAACCCTTGCTAAGGTGGTATCAGCATTGCCAGGCCTGCAGCCTTACATTAGGAAGAGTCTGAGTCAGGAGGAGAACAGGGAAGTGGAAGAAAGGGTTGTTCCCACAGGCAGCAGTGGTCCAAAACTGCTCCCAATGGCTCCAGCAGCACCACGGTTCTGGTTTGGTGTTTCAGAGACCTTCCTCAGCACCACCACTGCAGCTCCACCACCCCTGGGACAGCTTTACTTCTTCTTACCACAATGTCTTCCACCTCTGCAGTGCCCAGCCGGTGCCCACTGATGTTAATGATGTCATCCAGGCGTCCCGTCAGCTGGTAATAGCCTTCACTAGTGCGATACACACCATCCCCAGTGAAGAAGAACCCTGCAGAAGCCAGAACCATGCTGTAGCTGCTTGTTACAGCTAGAATGAGCTGTGAGCCAGTAGCTTTCCCTCCTTGACAACTTATTTGTCAGTACTGGGTCTTGTGGTCTCTACTCCTTTCTGTCAGGTGCTCAGGGAGAAGGTAGGGATGTTCACTGTCAGCCTTCTGCCTGTCTCAGTACTTGCTCCATCATCAGGCTCTTGCCCTAATTCTGCAGTATGTTGGCTAAAGATCCACTTTTCTCATCCCTACAAGCCAGGAACACCTTGATGCTGTGCAGGTGCTCGTGCAGCTGGTTATCTCCTTTGCCTAGGCCTGCTCATTGCCTCTGGGTGAGGATCAGCAGCTGGCAGGATTTGCAGGAGGAAAGCATCAAGAGGTGCTAGTGAGGATTTAGGAGGCAGAAGGAAAAATAAAGTCCTAAAAGAGCCTGGGATCAAATAGCAGGGCAGGGGGGCTGGGGGAAAGACCCATTCCCATGGTGATGCTGAGCTCTCTATCATGGGGAATTGCTGAAAATCTGTGGAACAGCAAAGCAACAAAACCAGCTTTCCCTAGTCCTGCCCCATGTAGAAAACTAGTAGTCAGACTGAAGTACATTCCACCAAGCACCTCCTCAAGGACTTTGTGTATTTTTCTTACCTGGATAAGGAGCCAGATAGGTTTCCACAAACCTCTTATGGTCTTTATAAATGGTTCGAGCCATACCCGGCCAGGCTTGTGAGATGCAAAGGGCTCCAGAGACATTATTTTCCAAAAGGACATTTCCCTGTAAAACAGTTACATTTTAGTAACCACAGCAAGAGAAATCAGGTTGTTCAACTATTGCTTATTTTCAATACTGCCATAATAGCCCCACAGGGGAAATACCAGGGAAGACAGTGAGGAGAGTCCTGTGCCCCAGCTCCAAGGGACAAGCCAAGCCTCTTCCTGCAGTCATCTCCAACCACCTGCCTACTGCACTGGGCTGCAGGGCCCCACCAGGGAGGTTATCTGTCCCTTCACAGCTTCTTCAGCAGGTTTTGAGCAAGGAAGTCTCAGCAGAGCCCACCTAGTCAGAACACAGGACTAGGAAACAACTTCACTTCCATGCTGCTTGGAAGAGGTTGCCACCAGCTTCACCATTGACCCCTTTTCAGTAAAGAACTGATTTAGCAGAGGTGAGAAGAATAGTGTGCTTACGTATCTATTCCCAAGAAGTACAGGCTATAGGCAATCACAAGAAAATGAGCTGAACTGGCAGCTGGGCTGACGGCTATAAATGTACCTTATCATCCAGTACAGAGGGACTGATGCCAAAAAAAGGTCTCATGGCCATGCCTGGAAGGATTTTGTCTCCAGGGTTAGAAGGACGGGGTGAGATACAGATGCCTCCTGTTTCTGAAGAAAAAAACAAAAACAAAAAGCCCTGTGTAATGCATATCAAAGCCAGAGAAAGAGGAAAGCCAGATAGTACTGTTTGAACATCAGCCTTTGCCCTGGATCTCAGTGTACCCTGCCAGCTACAGGCTGGGTCAGGGTTTGCCAGTGAGCTGAGGAAGGCTCTCTGCACATTTAATTCATCTTAGGTCAGATCCCCTTGGTCATCTCCCCCATGTTTCTCTGGGTTTAATTTCTATCATGTTTAAATCTTGGTTATGTTTTGGTGTCTATAACCCCTTGTTTCAGGGGGTTGCTTGTACAACCATGCCAGTAACCATTGTTCCTATTTAGCCAACAAAACAGCAGGTCACTCTTTAAACCTGGCAGAAGTGAAGCTGGCCATACCTGTAGCCAGGGCCAATACACATCTTACCTGTTTGCCACCATGTGTCCACAACAGGGCACCGTGTCTCACCCACCACACGGAAGTACCACTCCCATGCCTCCTTGTTTATGGGTTCACCCACTGCAAGGGGATCAGAAAACAGGACAGAGCCTGGTTAAGGTCAAAATTGCAGCTTACTAGGAGCAGCTCACAGAGCCACCCCCAAACTATGTTGGTTCTCCACCTCCTGCCAGTCCAGCCTATGCCACCAGTGCTCACCTGAGCCAAGAACTTTGAGAGAGGAGCGGTCATATTTCTTCACCCATTCATCACCATATCTCAGGAGCAGGCGGATGGCAGTAGGTGCCCCATAAAACTGATTAATTTTTAACCTCTCCACTGTTTCCCAGTAGCGTCCTGGAACACAAACAGAGCCACTAATCACTTGCTCACGTCCCCCAGCTTCAGACTGAGGGAGAGAAGGTGAGAATAAGACTTCTCTGACCCTCAGCCAAACTAACTCCCATGAGCTGGCACCAAGGCCACCAGCCCGCTTACGTGCCATGGATCTTGCAGGTGGCTGCACTACATCCCAACAACACCTCTCACTCACCAGGGTTGGGATGAACAGGAGTGCTCTCAAAAAGGACTGTGGTGCCACCATTGCAGAGGGGGCCATAGACAACGTAACTGTGCCCTGTGATCCAGCCAATGTCTGCCACACAGCCAAAGACATCCCTGTCCTGATAGTCAAACACGTACTGCAACATGAAGGAGAGACAGTGAGAGGTGCAGCCTAGAGCCTGGACCTCCCCTCAGAAAGAGGCACAAGCTCTAGTTTTAGTGTCTGCCTTCCCACCACCCCAACATGTTAGGCAAGGCTGAATAAAGCATCCTGCAACAGCAAAACTGGAGAACTTCCTGTGTGAGGATGGTCCTTCCACACTTCAAGGGGAGGGATCACAGTAAGCAGAGGACAGTTGGCTGCAAACTGGAGCAGTAGGAAATGAGACAAGCCCAGTCGAGGGCAGAACTGAATGCTATCAGACTGGCAGCAGCACATCATCCTTCATTTTGTTTGCTCAGCACCAGGAGCACAGGCTGACAGCTCCTTGTACGGGACAGCTGGAAGCTGGGTTCTCCAGGGCCTCAAGCACTCCAGAGGGCTTGTAATGGAAACTTCGCTGCCTTTCTGTTTTTTTTTTTTTTTGTTGTTGTTGTTTTTGTCTGTTTGTTTTTAAGTCAGTCAGCAGCAGTCTGTCCCCTTCACCTAAGCAACAATTCACACCAATCCTGTGTCATGGTTTGCAACATTCTTGAGTGCTAACATGAGCACATGCAGCTTGCTCCCTGCTTTTCCACCCCAGGACAGCAGTAAGGCTGAGCAACACACCCAGTGATTTGATCTAGGTTGAGGCAGTAAAAAAGAGGAAAACCAAGATGGCAGCTTGGAGGAGTATGTATTCAGGAGTCCCAGTGCAGGAGAACATGTTGCTGTTCTTCTCTACTTGTATGTGGATGTGCCAGGCTGCTATCATGCTTTGCTCTGGATAAAGATGAGCTCATCGAGCGAAAAGGTGATACATCTATTCCCTGCACTGCCTATGAATAGCAGGCTCATGAGCACTGTGTGCATAGGATTCATTACCTTGTGTGTGAGAGCAGCAAACAGGAGATAGCCAGCCTGGGAATGAACCAGGCCCTTGGGCTTGCCTGTACTGCCAGATGTGTAGAGAAGGAACAACATGTCTTCGCTGTCCATGGCAACTGGCTCACAGTATGCATCCTCCTTCATCATCTCCTGCAAGAGTCAGCACAGCAGTCCCCAGTCAGGGTCTTACAGACTCCCTGAGCTGTTTCACAGGCCCCCAAGCCTTTCTCTGCCACCCACACCACCCATTCCCACCACTTCGTCTTTCCTCTGCATCTCCTCTCCCCTTCTGTGCCTGAACTCCCTTGCCTTGCAGAACTGGCAGACGCTTTCCTCCATCAGAGCAGACTTGCTGAGTAAGAGGCAGCTATTTTTACACAGCTACTTTTCTGCCCAGCACAAGGGCCTCCCAGAAATCCTTTTGAGCACAAACTGCTTTCAGAACTGATGAGCAAAGGCTGTACATTGCCTGCCCAACAGTACAGTTGCTGCAGGAAGCTACCAATTACTTCTTCTGAGAAAGTCCTGAACTCGCATGCAGCTGCACTGCTATAGGACAGTGATCCCTCTTTACTTCAAGATCCACTCTTCCACCCTACCCTGATCCCAGCATCTGAGCAATACCCAAGGGAGTGGCAGGAGCCCTGGGCAGACCCTCACCTCCTCCAGCAGAACATCCAGGGCTGTCATGGGAAGCTGGCTGTCCGTCCTCATGGACACAAGGACACGTTTCACTCCTGGGCAGTGCTTCACAGCCTCGTCCACTGTTTTCTTCAGCTCCACAACCTTGCCACCTCTCAGCCCCTGGTTCACTGTGATCACCGTCTCCGACTGGGCTGCAGAAGAGCCACATAAGTAAGCACATAAGCCACCTGTTCCCCCTCCACACAGCACACACCAGTCTAACCTTCCCATGGGATGAAAGACACTCAGTGAGCCCCCTGCCATTTTCGTGGAGTACTGCTGCCTGCTCTGTGGCCATGCAACACAACAGGACGTCCCCCCCTCCCCCCATCAGCACAGATCCATATCAAGTCTGCACCTTGGCAAGGCTCATTCCCCTAAGCCCCCAGCTGCCAAACAAACAAGCTCAGTGGCGTCCCCAGATGGCAATGCTGGATGGTGTCCCTGTTCCCCATTGGCTCTTACCATCCCGAATCCTGTCTGCCAGGGACTCTGCACTGAACCCAGCAAACACCACAGCATGCACAGCCCCTATTCGGGCACAGGCCAGCATGCTGGCCACTGCCAATGGGCACGGAGGCATGTAGATTGTCACCCTGTCACCTCGTTTCACCCCCTGCCGTTTCAGGGTGTTGCTCAGGCGGCATGTCAGCTCCAGCAGCTCCCTGCCCAAAGAAGCAATGCATAGTTAGGGATTTTCTTGCAAATCCGCCTCATATGCACAGAGGCGTATGAGCTGGGGGTGCCCCAGCCTCCCAAGGCTCTAAAGCCACAGGTCTGCACTTCAGCGCCCTGTGCAGGAAGTTCTTCTAAGTCCTTTTACAGCTGTAAAATAGCAGTGGGAAGGAAGTAGGAGACCATCACCAGAGACAGGCTGTTATTTATGGCAAAGAAATTAACCAGAAGGGTCTGTGTGCAGAGCCTGGCACCGCCACTAACAGCAGTAGAAGCCAGCCCTGGATCCAGTAATGGCCACTAGCAATCCCTATGGCTCAGCCTGTCTATCATGCCTCTACTGACTTCTCCAATGACAACCTAGGTATTTCTCACCAGCCCTTACAACAATGGGAGTGACACACCCTGCCCTGCAAGGCCAGGGGCTTGCAAGAGGAGTCAGATATCTTCACCCAGCAAATAAAAACGGGTCCTTTGCTCAGTTATAGGTGGGAAGGTCAAGTCCTCCAGAGCTCTGCCTACCAGTAAGAACAGCTGTAGGAAACTGTGAGCAAAACAATGTCACTGCCTGAAACAAGAACTTGGCTGTCAGTGACTCATTTCATAGAAGGTCTCTCCATGAAAGGAGGTTGGCAAACCCTGCCAGCCAAGCCTTCCTTGTAGAGCATTTATCTCTCAGTCACCAGAAACCTTGGCAGGGACCCCACAGGGATGACCAGGAGACAGGCTGATGCCTCAGAGTAGCACAGGCAGGCCAGCAGCCGCCACGCTGGTGATCCACTTATGGGAAGAGATGCTGTGTCCTCTTGCAGGACACACATCAGTGAAGCAGACCTTTGCTGTGTGTGCATGTCTCACATGTGCTCAGAGGTATGCACTGACCTGTATGTGACCCGCAACTCCTCTCCTGGTTCATCCTTCTCCCAGATTAAGGCCACTTTGTCTGGGGCTACATGGACATGTCGGTCCAAGCAGTTCACTGGAAAAGATGACTCAGTATCACTGCTAGAACTTCCTGTTCTCAGTAGCACAGCCTCTGCAGGTACTAGCTGGCACCCTAGCGTGTTGCGCTCCTCAGTTTCCCAGTGCACATTGAACTCCACTATCAGCATTCTTAACCACAACCTAACACAGCTTGGTGCAGGAGTTGCCTTAATCCCTTGAAGGTCACATCCATAGTGCCAGCTGTGGGCCCCAGAAGGCCTGGTAAACATTAACTTATCCACCATTCTGCCCTTGCTACTGCCTCTACAGGGAAATGTGGCTACCCTTATAGCAGTCATGCTCCTAAATAACAAATGTAGGATGTGGAGAAAATCTGTGTATGAAGATTGCAGAGTGCAAGACAAAGCAGAGCCATTCATGTACAGCACTGGCCTCCCAGGGGCAGTGAGTCATTCAGCCTTTGGCTGCAGTTCTTTTAGGAAATTTCTTGCACCTCCAGCTGTAGCATACTCATTAGAAACCTTGTTACATTCAGTGTTTTCCTTTCTTAGATTACCTGCTCCTGAAGCCATGGGATGACCCAGCAGCCTGTCTGCATTTAAAAATACCTTTTTCTCCTGAACACTTGTAGCTTTGCGGGAGGAAAAGAAGCAAACCAACCAGCCCAGGAGTGGGAACAGGAAAATCTCCAGCTCCCCTGCCCAAATAAGCCTCATAAGACCTAGTTTTGGGAAGTTTTGTTGTACTCTTTTTTGAGCTCTGGGACCAACAGCAGTGCAAGCAGGAACACGGTGCCACCAGTCTCTTCTTTTCCTCTGGTAGCACCCTTTTGCAGTAAGGAGAAGTATCCCATGACTAAGAGGGCCAATGGGACTTTTGGGGGAATTCCATCACTCTAGCACGTTTTGCTTCTGGGGCCACAGCACTTCACAGGGTGGTATCTACAGACACTTACAATCACAGAATCACTTACGTTGGAAAAGACCCTTAAGATCATTAGTTCCAGCCATCAGCCTGACATTACCAAGTTCACCACTAAATCACATCCTTAAGTGCCACATCCACACATCTCTTAAATACCTCCAGTAGTCCCCTGACTTCCCTAGGCAGCCCAGTCCAGTGTCTATAAAATTCTTCCTGCTACCCATCCCACACCTCCCCTGGCACAGCTTGGTGCCGTCACTGGGCTCTCGTGGGCTAAAGATCAAAAGGACTCCCCCAGTACACAGCAGGCAGAGAGCTCCCTCCCATAAGACAACATGCAGGCAGGCCTTCCCCCCCACCCCCCTATCTCCTGGGTAGGGTAAGAAGCACCCTCCCTCCCCAGTACACCCTCAGCCCATCTGTGAGGCATCAGGTCCCCTCACCTGCCACGTTGAGCTGCCCCCCCAGGAACCAGGCAGCCCGTCCCTGCTGCAGATCACAGTCCTGGACAGAGTGGAAGGGGGTGATCCAGGAGAGCCGACTCCTTGCCAGCGCTCCCCAGAAGGCATCCCCCTGCTCCACCGATGTCTTGTACAAGCCCTGGTGATCCTGAGCTTCCGGGAAGGAGGCAGCTTCTGGCATGTAGGCAGTAAGAGGGCCCTGGCTCCAGGACCGAGCACTCACCAACCCATAGAGACATCTGGAAGCCCAGGGAAGAGCTCTGGGGCAGCAAGCCCTAGTCAGCAGCCAGGCCATAGTCACAGTGCAGCAGATGAGTTTCAACTCTTCCTAAGGAGATATGTACTCAGAGTCCTGACAAGTTCCACCCCTATGGGAGCTGGAACCCAGGCAGAGCCCCTGTTCTGGAAGCCCAGGGCACCCCTTGTCCCATGCACCTCCTCACTGTTGGAACTGCACAGGGAAAGAAACCCAATCCCTATAAAACAGAGAGGAAGGGGTGGGTTTTATAACTATTTGACTGAAAATAACCTTCATGCTAATCTGAGTCCTGCTGGCCTTCCCTGGATAGCAGCCAGCTGCAGCGCGCGCTCGGGGTGCCCATGGAAACAGGTGCTGGGCCAGGCTGCCTCAGCTGCTTCCCAGGTTTATCTCCTGCAGCTGTCACCTGGATGAGATACCCCATCCATCTCCTGCTGGGCACATACCGTTTCTCCACAAGGCTGGGCTGGGCTCTTTACCTCTTCTAAATGCCTTAGAACAGCTTGTAGCAGCACTAATTGAGGTCTTGGTGGAGCAGGAGGCAGGCTTGGGTGAAATACTGCAGCCTATCTCCTCACTCTGAGATCCCCAGCACCTGTGTAGTGGAGCGAAGCTGCTCCTGCCTCATTACAGCTTTCTTCTGCCCTCCTTTCCTTTGGGTCCAGCACCTCTTTGTGCTGCTTAGAGCTCACTGAAGTATTTCTGGGTAAGGTCTGAAACCTCACCCTTCTCAGCTTTGGCTGAATTCATTTTCCTTGAAAAAGTGACCAGACTCACACAACATATTCCAGTTTAATTTTATTCTTGTTTGTATCTTTACAGAAAATGGCACATAAATCACAGGTTCTGAATGACTAGAAGTTATTACAGCTCCATATCTCAAACACCTCAATACTGAATTCTTTTCTCACTGTATGTACATTATTTACACACCATGGGCTATAATCTAACACGTCAAACAAACGGGTGACAAAGACAAATGGGACTGGATGGAAGAAGTTAATTCTGACAGAATTAAAACAGCAGCTCTGGGAAGAGGGTGCCTGATCGGGACAGAAGGGAGATGTCAGCACAAGATGCTGTGAAGAACAGCAGGTTTGGCTGCATGGGTCTGCGTGCACACGTGGGGTCGGTGAGGAGACGTATGTACACATTACAGCGTGTGCCAGGGCTGCGTCTGCATGGCTGTCATTCCCTTCAGGGCTCAGAAGGAGAGCGGGGCAAACTGACTTCAATAAATACCTTGGGAAAATGTCTTGTCTGAGAGGGTGTGTGTGGCACTGGCCTCCAAGTGCGTGTGGGGAAGATGACAGTGTAGGCTGGGGTCATTGGAGGTTTGAGCAGGAAACGAGACATGGTGTCTGCAAGCTAAACCTGCTTTTTCTCACATAATGGAGGCAGAAATCAGCCCCTCCAAATCTGCAGCCCCATCCCAGCAGCTGTCAGTGCTGAGCTGGGAGAGCTGTATAGCAGAGGCTCAGCATTTCACACACACAGGGCCATGGACTTATCATACCAGGGGCAGTGGGGTCCTCTGGGGTGTGGAACACAGTGGAATGCAGTGTGAGGTGAAGGGGAACTGGGCTTCACTGGCCTGGAGGGGGCTGGATGGGGCCTTAAGCTAGAGCCAGACCCACAACCTGAGGGACCTGGAGCCGCAGCCTGCCCTGGGGTGGAGATGGAGATGGGGATGGGCTGGGGTAAGGAAAGCCCTAGGAGTGGAGGAGTGAAGGACAGGGCTGCGCTTCAGGGGAGCAGGCTGGGGGCACCCCTGGGTAGCCCCACATGAAGAAACCAGGGCCCCACACTCTGGGTGGGTGCAGCCAGGAGGCCTGGCCATCAGAGGGGGCTGTGACCCCCAGAGGGCACAGTATCTGTCAGGGTTGGCTTCCACAGCCTCTGTTTCCCTAGATCAGCTTCTCCTCCTTCTGTGATGCACTGGACTTCTCGGTCTGCCTCTCATCCTCTGCCACCTCCTCCCCTTTCTCTGGCTTCCTCGGGGTGTCCCCCGCAATGGTCCCCAGGACTTTGGTGCTGTGCTCCTGAGCTTTGGCCCTGAGGGCGGCAATGCTGTTTTCTCTCAGTTCCTCCTGGGAAATGGCGGTTTTGGGATCCGAGCCCCTCTCTTCCTTGTCACCCTTGTCAAGCTTGGGCAGGGCCTGGCGCTCCACCTCCGTCTTCCTCCCCGCCTCAGCCGCTGCCTCCAGAGACTTTTTGTGCATCCCTAAAAAGAATTGTTGGTATTCGGGTTTAGAAAAGCGCCTGGGCATGGGAAAGCCATCTTGAACTGAAAACAGCAAAGATAAAGAGAGGCCAGAATTAAGGAAAAGCAGAAACCCTTGCTTCAAACAGCAGTCATGGCACGCCAGGCACTCTGGCCCCGCGCAAGTGCAGCCCTGGCTCAGTAGGGATGAGGGTCTTAGATACAGCAGGGGCCTGGGTCCCTGGGGTCATTTGCTACTTGGATCGGGGAGGTTTCCCTGCCTTTCTCTATCAGTTCCTCATACAACCCACCCCTGCCTCCTCAGATTCATGCAGACAGAAGGACAGCCCACTGTTAAGATGCCCACAGTCAGTTCTGGGACAAAACCAGCCTGAAAGTTCAGAAAGTAGGAAGCAAAGAGCAGGAGCACATTAGGGTAACCACTACATCCACTATCCCTCCTCCACAGCAGACAAAGCAAAACAGGGCAGCAGTCCAGCTTTGTGGGTGCCCAGAGGAAGGGAAGTGGGATGAGTACAAGAGAGGTCTTGGCACTCTGTACAACTTTGCAGGGATCCTGAGCAAGCTGGAATCCCATCAAGTTTTCTCCTCACACCCCTCTTCATCCTGACCTCCTTGCCACCCCTGTGAGGCTGGCTGCTCTCTTACCCAGGAGCCACGGGGCACACGATTCCATGATGCCGTCCTTGGCTGACTTGAGGATAGACTCAGGCAGTGGGATGGAGTGACGCACCATGGCTCCATAGAGTCCGTACTCGGCCATCACGCTGCTCCGGCCCCAGCACTTCTCTCGCTTCCGCCACTTAGCCCGGCGGTTCTGGAACCAGACCTGGAGTGGAGGATAGGGAGGGTTGTGAGCATCGGGGGCAGCAGATGTGATATCCCATCCCTGCACACGTGTGCTTGTGCAAGAGGATGAAGATAGGCACATGTACACCTTCCCAAAAGCCTCATACAACAGTCACTGGGTATTTCTCTCCCTCCTCCTTGCAGGAACAACAAGGGCCAAGCATGAGAGCAGGTCCCATCCCTCCCTGCAGGATGTAATTAATTTGCCATTGCGCTTTTTTCCAGCAGAGTTTGGCTCTCATGTCTTGGATTTGCTTTCATTATTTACTGGGCGCCTGAGCTGCAGCAAGGGGCTGTGTGCTGCAGTGCCACAGGGACAGCAGAGCTGGGGGAGATGCTCTGGATAGGCAGGAGAAGAGGGAGCTGATCTGTGCCGCTTGCCTTGAATTCCCTGTTTGAAAAGACCCACATCTTCTCAGAAAATTGGCAGAATAATCTCCAAGCTGTGACCTGGGGGGCAGCGAGCACAGACGCGGGCGGAGGCAGGGGTGGCTCACAGAAATCTATTAGCGCTCGCTCTCCGATTTCCATCCCTCTTGTCTTGCCTGCCCTCCTCCCTCCCCACAACCCCTCCCTTCCCGCAGAGCAGAGGCATCAGCTTTAGATGAAAAATTGCTCGAGGTCTATTCAGAAGGAGGCAAAGGAAGAGTCAGCCCCAGGGGCAGCCCAGGCCTGATTGAAAAATAAGTTAATTTCAGTTTGAATCGATGGGCCTCAGGCACTGAAATATCACGGGAAATTAAAGCAGCAGGTCCCTGGGGAACCACGCCATTGACCTGCGCTAATTAATGCCATGGAGTTACCAGTCGCCTCTCCAAAAGGCAGCCCCTCCCTCCCTGTGGACACCCCAAACACCTCCTCATTTAACTAATTAGACTCACAGAAAATTGGGTGTTAATTTGTTTAGGATTTTTTTTTTTCCTCCTATTTTTTCCCTCCCTTTCCCGGAAAGTACACGGCAGAATGGAAATGAATGGCGGGGTCTCGCTGGCAGATGGATGCTCGGGGTCACTCCGCAATCTTCTCCAACTTGATTGCTTGATTAGGTCGTTAGCACATTAAAAAAAAAAATTGCTTGCCGTCTGGCGCTGGCCTGATGAGTGGGATGAGGCGGGAATCGCCTGGGTAATTTATCTTTTTATACTGCAAAGAATTTGATTTCAATCTGCAGATATATGGAGGTGCCTTTGACACCTGTTTAACATTACAGAGCTGACAGCTTAACCCTCTGTTGCCTCAGCTGTGGGGGAGCAGGGGCTGCAGGGGGGAGCACAGAGGGTTCTGAGACCCCCGGCTCGTGGGGGCAGTGAGACCTTTGTCTGGGTGCAGCCTTGCCAGGCCCCTTCAGAGCACAGTGAGCTCACCTCTTTCACCTGCCTGCCCAGAAGAGACTGCACAGCATCCTCTGCAGGGATGGAAGACATGGGCTCGGCAGCTGTGATCCCAGATTGTCCTGGCAGAAGACCCCCTGTGCCCAGCAGAGGAGATGTTACAGCCAGGATGCTTCCTGCAAAATCCAGAGGACAGCACCTGCCAAACTGCCTTGGTCTGGAGCTGAAGTGACACTTCCCCATGTACTCAGAACGGCTTGCACAAATGTTCACTGGGATTTTCAATCAGACACAGTTTTTTGTTTTTTGGTTTTTGTTTTTTTTTCCCACCAGGTACCAAGTGGGCAACTTTTAAAAATCTCTTCAATTCTTATCTTCAGGTGCTTCCTCACTGAGGCTTTCACTACCTGCCTTCTTTCCCTTCTTCCTGCCTCGTTTCCCCAAACATCATACTCCATGCTCCTCAGGCTCCCCCTTGCTCCATGGCTCTCAATCCTGCTACAGCAGTGGTCTCTTTTAGTGCTGCCCCAAAACCTGCAGCAACAGAACATCTCTTCTCCCCCAGCATGAGCAAAAAAAATGCAGGAGGCAGCCCAGGTTTTGCCATAGGCAGACCAATTTTGACTGGTGCTGGTGGAAAATTTTCTGACAAAATGCTGATTCAGTTATACATAAATGCTGCCTCTGGTCAGTGGAAGAATAATCAAAATTACCTATGGGTTTCTTCTCAGTGTTGTATTTTAATCTCGTCCATGTAACAAGCAAGATCTACGCTACAGTGCCAAATGGGCAAATCAAAATGACATCAACAGCCTTGTAAGGTCA